AAATTCAAACATTAATGTTAAAATAAAATTCAAAATTTAAACATTAATGAAATTCAAACATGACGTTAAAAATTCAAACATTAATTCAATTTGAAATAGTACACTAATTTAAAAAATTCATTCTTTACTGTTTATAAATTCATTGATAGAATTTGAAAGGCATTCTAGCAATCTTATTAAACTGCATAGCATTTTAACATTAATTTTGTATTCTCTGTAAATTATTAGTAGCATTTATTTTATGACTGTATATAACTACAATAAGTACAATTAGAAGGATCTTTCTCGCTAGTCAGACTACAAAAATATCGTGTATTGAGCAGCAAATGGCTCTCTCTTATATTTTTTGGATATACAAAGATGAAAAAACCCATAAACGAAGTGTTTATAAATATTTTGGGATTTTTTACGACTTGTAATAACTGTAAAATGTTTGCTTCAAAGGTAGTGAAACACATGTTCGGTAATAAGGAGAAGAAAGAAAAGCCAGACAAAGATGCTTTTAAAACAGCACTCACTCAATGCAATTTTCGACAAATTCAGAAGCTTTTCAGTGAATATCAGAGTATGACTGGTGAACCGTTGCAGGCTGGGATTGAAGTTTGTTTTACATTTTTTGCATTACTTGTTGATTAATAATCATTACTTGATGATTTCTTCTATTATTGGCTTCATATTTGATAAATGTTTATTGCCCAAAAGAATCATCAATATTTGTTTAAAATTATTAAAGTTATTAATCAGTTTAATGATGTATTGCAATGTTCAAGTATTTATCATATCAAGTAGGCTATGCTGACTTTCTGTCATTTTGCAAAAAATTTATTACATAATTTAAAGAAGTCGTATGCATAATTTGACTTCTCAATTCGCAAGCATATTTGATTACAACATAATGCACATGTCCTTTTTGCTCATAAATAAAACCATCAGTAAGAATTTTAATTAATTCAAAATTAGTTTTAATTAGTTCAGAATTGGTTTTAATTAGTTCAGAATCAGTTTTAATTAATTCAGAACACACAGTTTAGATGGAACATAATTTTATTGGTTTACTATGACTAAATAGCTTTGATAAAGTCTATAAAAAGTGCTAATAATTGTAATTAAATATTGCAGAAAGTATTTAGTGGTGATGCCAAGATTGCTTACTTGGCACTTGTAGATAATATTCAAAATAAACCACGCTTCTTCGCAAAGCTACTGTACGATTCTATGAAGGTAAATCAATTTCATATGAAATTAATTATTCTCAATTAACTTGTTGTTAATATTTGTGATCAGAAAATTTATTATATACTTTAATCTTAGTTTGTGGATAAATCTGATCATGGAAATGCGAATATTTTTTAGCATTGCCCACAATCACTAATTCTTGTAAATAAATTTTTTTACTACTGCAAAACAATTTTTGCATATATGAGCAGATTATCAGCATGATTTATCTTTTGAAAATTTTAAGAATGCGCAGAAAACTTATTCCAGGGGCTTGGCACTATTGATCACCAGTTGATACGAATTATTGTCTCACGATCCGAAATTGATTTAGCGTTGATCCGAGATGAGTTCGAGAAAATGTACAAGAAATCGTTGATTGATTGGATCAAGTCGGAATGTTCAGGACCTTATCGTGATGCATTGATTGTAATCGTGAAAGGAAACTGAAACAGCACTGAAAGAACTGTGCTATTAAGAAATATTTTTTTCTTTAAAATATAGTCTAAATATTTTTCTGAACTGTACGAACAACAGTTCGATGTTTGGAAGGGATGAATGAAATTCTGTATTTTCTTTCGTAGAATATACTTTGTCTTCAAAATCTAATTCTTAATATCTGATAATGTTTTAATGAATTATTATTGTTCCTAAAGGACTTTTTAGATTACTTTTCGTTATGATATGAAGAATATTTTTTTAAGATGTTCTTTTTTAATACTTGAAAAATAAATTTTGAAATTATTAAAATTAATCACATCGAAGCTAAATAAGTTGTTTCATTGATGAAAAGAGAAAAAATGGCTTCTTTGAATATTCTTTTTCAGAATTGCATTCTTATAATATTATCATTGATATATATCACTGTGTATCATTTTCGCTTGCATTTTCGATGCTAAAATATTTTTTGCTGCTAAATCTCGAATTTATTGCTGCCGACGTTATTTCTTCACAGACTATCAGTCATGACTTCGAAAATTCGATCATTTTTACTTTTGAAACCGCAAATTTGATACTGAAATGCATTTGTTTTTGTTAACAACAGTCAACAACCTGAATCTTTTTAATATAAATTTTGTAAGTACTTCAGGTCATTCCCGATATTCTCAACATTATTGTTACATTAATTTATTTGCAATAAATTTTACTGCAATATTCAAAGCTCTAGCGTGGAAAGTACTTTATAAACTTTGATGCATTGGTGAGAAAATAAGTGAAATTTTTTAATTTGTGGTTTCAGCTTGCTTGGATACTGTGGCTTCTTGCTTCATAATATTTACGCTATCAAGTGATATGTTTCATAGTTTACAGCCTCCAAATGTGAATTATGGAAATGAATAAAAGCTTAAATGATCTACTTATTAATGTCAAAATCGTGCTGTCAATCTGTAAACAGCAAGCAAGAAATAGTCAGAGTGCATATTTAGCATTCAGAAGCGGAATTTCCGAGAACTAAAGCCCTAGTAATTCAACACGGTATCACAAAATAATTGGTTAATTACGTGTATTTCTACGCGAAGTTCTTTATCAATTAAGTATCTCAATCCAGTTTGGGATGAATTAGCAGCTGCAATGTAGTTGGGATTCTCCAATTTGTATTTAATTCAGAAATACAATGAAGTCAGATTATAGTGTTTTTGAACAGGAGATAGGCGTGAAAGATCTCAACAATATTGAAAGAAGGAATTAATTTATTCATTTCTCTTTTCTCTTCTAATTCTTACTACTAAATATGTCATACGAATAGCCGGCCGTCTAACTGATAACACTTTCTGATAAAAGTTGCTTGCATGCTTTGTCATTCGATTAGTAAGCAACGGATGTTATCAGTTAACTTTGCCTTTCAAATTATAGACATGGAATCTGTTAATAATTGTAAGCACAGAAGTGAGTGACATTTCTTGCTTATAAAGTATTTAAGCTTCAAAGATTTTATTGCTTTCACTAATTTTGTCAAAGATATTATGCTCAATTTATGGACAGTTTTCTATTTTGTTATTTTTGCTAAGGCTTTTTCTGTACATAAATTTAACACAAATAATCGAGAAGATTATACGTCTGAGAAAGTCTATAACAGTTAATGAGCTGAATTTGAAATAGTACTAATTACTTTTTAAGCACAGTATTAGATTTGCAACTGTTTTTTATGAGGTGATACGTAACTGATAGCGTTAAATTAGATAGTATTTTTTGGTTATTAACAAATAAATATTCACTCTTTCTGACTCTTAATTTTCAATAAAATCGAAAAATTTAGAAGGCATTTGAAATGAAATTAAGTAATTTCAATTTTACAGTAATTATAAATATCGTAATATGCGGAAAGTTTTACTGTTATTAACAGTTTTAACATGTATCAATATAACAAATATTAACAGTTCAAATTAGTTAATATTTTTGGATTATGAACAAATGAATATTCTGTGCTAACAGTTATTAGCACCAAGCAAATATTAACAATAACGAATATTGTAGTAATTTCTTGATGAAACTACTAAATTTTAGTATTCAAATCAGTCAGTCTTTTTGATTTTGTTCTTTTGTCTGAAATATTTTAATAAATTCAAATCAGTGCTTGAAAAAGAAATCTAAGCCATCTGGTGAAGCGATTCACTCATTCACTCATTCAGTCGTTCAATCGTTCAATCGTTCAATTGTTTAGCCATCAATAAATTCTTTGTATGCCAAAAAAGTAGTGAATGTGAAAAGGGAAACAGAAATGACAAAATTTGCATAAAAGATAGAGAGATAAAAAAGCAAAAAATGAAAAAAAAGAGAAAAAACTGGAAAAAGTTAGGGAAAGCGCTATCGATGGCCCTTTTGCCTCATTTTAACTTGCATATGGCACCATTTTTTTCACTCTTTTCCTTTTTTCATTTGGTAATTTTTGGTGTGAATTGTTTTCTTTTCGCATATGCAAAAAATATTGCATTTAGCTCACTAATTTTCGTTGCTTTGCACATATTATAATATTTAAATTATTTTATTTTATGCGCAATTGATTGATCATTGATCACTGATTGATTTTTTATAAAATTAGCATACTGATTTTTTGGTTAAAAATTATAAAAGAATGCATTTTCAGCACAGAAAATAGTGTGTAATATTTGATGCATTCTACCACTTCAAATGTTTCCTTATAATTTAATGAAATTTTACTCGACGAGATTTTTTTGTTTTTATAAATTTCGAGATTTTGTCTTGCTTTTGTAAAATTCATTACAAAACTTGTATATTATTTTTACATTTTTTTTCGTGATACACAAGTCTTATATCACTTTTTTTACAAAAGTAGTTGCAGAAACAAATAACTTTTTTGATTACTTAAAGAAGCAAAAAGATTTCAAAAAATCATACAAATACTTCGATCTTAAATATAAATCTATGCGAATGAGAAAAAATTTTTAAGCGTGACCTTGTTAGCATTAACAATTGTTACTGTGAATAGTACAGAAATGAGCAACATAATTCGAATTAAACTGCTTAGTCCGAACAATAATCATTCATTGATTCCATTTGTAATACAGTAATTTCGATTTCTTTGCAGTTTTTAATTTCTGTTTGAATTTAAAAGATATTATAATTTGAGCGTTTTTTGCGATTGCTCAAAATTCGATTGAATTTTACACAATAATGGATATTGTTGGAGATAAAATCATTGCATGAAAAGTGATTGCATTGATAGAATCATTTTTATGTAATATAACAGTCTATTACTGTATTTTTATTGCGTATGCTTTTGCAATATGCACATGCATTTCAGCTTTTTTACATATTTTATTTCTGCTTTAATCGAATTAAATGTGAAAAATTAGCACGTACTGAATAATAATTAATTAATTACGTTAGAAAATAATATAATATATTAATTTCAAAGTTAATTAATTTAATCTCAGCAAAATGATAGTGATTTATTACTGCACTGTAATGATGACAGTATATCAATGTGATATAACAAATATTTTAGAAAAAATTACTATATTTTATTATACAATTTCTCAAATTGTAGTGACTTATTACACACATATCATAGCGCAAGAATAATACATTGTTGTCACAATGGACCAAATATAACAGTTTCATACAGTAATAATCTGATTTTAGACAGATTGTTCAGTTATTTCGTAGCAATGTTAAGTGGGAATGATTCATTCCATGGGACTATCACAGCAAAAATTTCTTTTGATGATGATAAAGCAGTGGAATCTTTGGTGAAAGCAATGCATTCGAAAAAAGATGCTGATGAACGTCAAGTACTTCAGATACTGACGCAAATTAACAACACACAACGTCAAATGGTACATTTTAGATTACTGATTAATTGAAGTAATTTAGTGAATCGAATAGTTCTGAAGACTTAACAAAAAATTGCAAAGCTCTTTTGTGATTAGTTGTTTGCAACTAATTATAAGATTACTGAGAACAAAGAATATTTCTGAAGCTTTTCCAAGATACATTTTAATTATTTTATCCTATTTTGACATCAGATATATATTTAAGATTAAGACACCATACAAAATCAAATGTAATCGAGACTTGGTAGTTGATCTTGCTAATATTTTCGCTGGTGATTACAAAGATGTCATTTTGGCACTGATGGAAACACCGACAAAATACGATACTTTGTTACTTAAGAAAGCTTTTGATGTAAGTTTCACTTTTTAGATTTCTGTTGATATTCCACTGTTTCTTGGTAGTTGTGAAGTTGGAGGGTTGATATAAGATCATTAAAGTAATTTGAATTTTCTAAAATGGATTAAATTACAAATTCCATAGCTAGGCTAAGCTTTATTATCATTAGAACGTGTAAGAAAAATTTAATTTCACTGAACAGCCAAATGAATGGGTATAATTAATTTGAAGAAAACCTTTACACAGTTAATATAGGTCGGTCTAATGATAATCTCTAATTTGATCATGCGCAATAAATTGATAAATTCTCCTCTGTGATTTAATTTTACTGACCTTTCATCTAATTTAATCATTAATTGCTATCAGGAAAGTGGAACTAATGAAACAGTCTTAATTGAAGTTCTCTGCACAAGAACTGATGCACAATTAGTAGCAATCAAAAATGAATACTTTATCTTGTTCGAGACTACTTTAATCGCTGATCTAAATGCTAACACAACAGGTGACCTGAAAGATATTTTGACCTCTGTTGCTCAAAGACCTATACTGATCAATCATAATTCTGTTGATACAAGCAAAATCAGACAGGTAATGATCAATTAGTTGAGATCAAATTAATCAGTTCATAAGTTTTAATGCACTAAACAAATAAAAAGTTTATGCAAAGTTTTAGGATGTTAAAAAGATATTAGCTGATAAGAAGAAATTGGATAAAGCATTACTGAAATCCACTATTGCATCACTACCTGCAGCTCCATTGGCTGTTTTCATTGCAGAATATGCCATGATGGCAGGGCACCAAATTGATCAAGACGTTGAAGTTCAAACTTTTCCCTTTTAGCTTGTCATAAAATTACGTTACTTCCAAATGACTCAAATCCTTTAAGACCAAAATTAAACTGCTTATTTTGATTTCATGTCTGTGAGAATTTCCATAATTATCTGCTTGTCTATTATCTTGATATTTCTTCTATATTTCTGATTAATTAATTGAAAAATATTCCATCAAAAATCTTTGGCTTTTAATTTTAATTTATAGATTAATCTTTGGTTTGAATTTATTTTTATTTATATAATGCTGTAATTCAGAAGTGTATTAATGTTATGTGAACAGTTTATTACAAGCTTTATTTCAAAGTTCTTCATAACTTTTGATGCACAAATTCTTTTAATAAAAATAAAGTTATAAGGGAAATTAATATGAACAAGATTTTACCATTTCAGAAGCAATTTAGTGGTCATGCCAAGAGTGCTTTGCTCGCACTAATCCAATATTCTCGAAATAGCTTTTTATATTTCGCGAATTTGTTAAATGGTGCATTAAAGGTAATTACCTTAATTAGTTGTTACTTAATGAACCAACAAAATAAATTCTGTTCAAAAATATTTGAGTGTTTTCCTTCAGTACTTGTAACAACTTTCAAGTGCTAAAAAACTTTGAAAGTATTAAATTTCACTCGTTTAAAATTAAGATGAAGTGAATTTTCAAAAACGTAACAATAGTTAAAATTGAATTAATCCACCCAATTTACTTACTGATAGCAATCTCTGCCATTTGATTTAACTTTTTAATTTTTAAATTTTGTTTATTGTCTTTTTAGGAAAAAAAAATGTAGGAAAGCATCTGTACACAATAATTATTTTTATTTTTGGAACGTTGGGGATAAGAAAATAAACAAATTGCAAAACTTTTTATTATAATCTTTATAATCATTTTCGGACTCGTTATTATTTATGATTTAAACTTGAGTAGTATTCTAGGGTCCCGGCATTCGAGATCAAGACTTAATCCGTCTGGTTGTTTCTCGATCTGAAATTGATCTTGCTTCTATCTCCGAAGTTTATGCAAATTCGTATAAGAAGCAACTAGTAGATGAGATCAGTGCTGCATGCGAGGGTTCATATCGTGACTGCCTAATTGCCATTGTCAATGGTAATATGCAACAAATTATCGTAAATTAATATTCATTTTTCTATTTTTGTTTTCATTCGTATGCATTTCCATAAGTCTTCATACTTTAATAATTTTTGTAAAATGTCTCCATTTGCCATTTCTGATTGCATTTGTGCAATTGCAAAATTGACTAAGTTGAAAATTTGTTTTTGGTTTTTTCAAATAAAAAGATAATACATAAATGTTCAGTTTGAGAATGAAATGTGCTTAAAAATTTTATTCTATCAGTTGGTTTCTGCTTTGCTCATTCCGAAAACAAAGTACTTAAGTGTATTCATAATGATCAAATGATCAAACAGTGATCAGTAAATCAGTTTGATGAAGCAAAAATTGTACTACGACACAATAAGATCGTTCTTCTGGCACTCTCTGGATTAAGCTGTGTTTAGCATTACTGATCAGCAACTAACCAAGTTTCTGAATGATTTTTAAACCTTATCGATAGATTGTCGAATGATCTATAGCGATGCTACAGTGATTAAATGATATTTAAATTTTTATTACTGAACAAGGAATGAATGAATTCAATCATTTTAGTTTAATTAACAGAAAAGAGTGACTTCAAGCTGTAATAAGTAGATTAATGATATGATATTCCATGTATAGAAAAACTAAGCACTATTAATAAGGCCACTTAATTAGTGCTTTAATGAATTAAGCAATGGTAATGAGCAAAAAAACTGTGCAACAAAAATTTCTTAAGTTGCGTACACATTCTTTAACTAACTTATTGATAAGGCAAGATAAAATCACTGAGTTATTTGTGTACAGTAAGGCGAATATTGCAAACAATGAAAATATCAAATACGAATTTAAAAGATAAGAATAGTATAAAGCATAATTAATATTACAAATTGAAAATTCTAGAAAAACGTTGAAAAAATGGATAAATATAGAGAACAACTTTAATGGATTTTCATTTTATTTTGTGTCTTCTTGTCACTACAGTTTTGCTTTTTTCAAATTCTTAACTTAAATACAGGAGGAATTACAGAATAGTACAAAAATAAATTATTGAAAATAATCAAAATGCATACAAGACTTTTTTTTTGGCAAAATCACCGAGTGCTCAGAATAAATTTTGTAATAAAATCAAAATCACTTCTACACTTAAAACTTCCAGGTTTATCAAAATTTTGCTTAAAAAAAATGGCAAATTGGCATAAGTTAACGTGGATTGGCAAAATGAATATCACGTCCATCAAATTAACTTAATTAAACGTGACCTTTGTGAAGTTGAGTTTTGTCATCCAAATCATACATATCAATCCACCAATCTTTGTTAATCTTTTGGTGTCGAAAAGTAGATGAAGAAAGTGTAGACGATAACGTATGTTTAAGCTGAAGCGTTTCAGTTTTATTTTTTTTATCGTTTGTATTGTTTTGGCATAATTTTCGGTTTATTCCAGTAATTTCTGGCAGACATTTTCTAAGGCAGAATTCTTTGATCAGAAGAATCAGATAGTAAATTAGAGCAATCGCGAGAATACCAGCAATAATTTCAGTGATGACAAATGCCAACAGATAAATACGATAAGTGGGAAACTGAAAATTCACTCTCAAAGTTTACATCGTAGTTTTTTATAAATTTATATGCATGAAAAATGATTAATGAATTCCAATTTGATTTTTGCTAACAATTATGAAACTTACGTATGAAGTAACAAAGACTGTACCATTACGAATGCCATTTATTTGATTTGTTACATGAGCTAAAATTTGTTTCAGGTCACCCGTAATATGATCTATTTTCGGTATTACTAATTCGAATTCGTTATCAATAATCCGCAAAGCTTTATGAATTTTCTCCAATGTCCAATGAATATTTTGAATTTCATTATCAGCAGTCATACACTGCTAAAATAAAATAAATGTTTTCACAATAATCAGTTCTCCTTCACTGAATCAATATTCAAATTTTGTAACTTATCGTAGGAGTACATAATTACTTAAAGCCTGGAGTTACAAAGACGGGTATTAACGCAAAATACCTTATGTCTAATATCAAAATGCATTTGAATTGAAATTTTGAAGATTATTCCGCCTAGATTAAATTAAGCTTAAATGAATAACGAAACTTTGCTGAAGGTAATTCTTAAATTTCGGATAGCTTTAATGAGTTTATAATTTGTAAATTAAAGAAGATAAAATTTGAATAAACAATTCTGAATAATTGAATTTGCCGCAAAAAGAGAGTATTAATAGGTCAAAGTTCATCTTATTGATTAACCAACGAACAACAATACTGTAAAAATTATGATAAAAAAACGATACTATGATCATCAAGTTTGACAATGCAAAAATAACAGTTTTTTATAGAATCAACGCAAAAGTGGTAGTAAGTTTTGGCAATGTCTGATTTTTGTGATAGTAATTGTTGTGCGCTGCGAAGAATGTTTAAAAGATACAATTTTACATTGTACAAATGCTCGTCTGTCTATTTTCTCGTAAAACAAAGTAAGGAAGTGGAAAAGAATCATTTAAGCGTAGCTCTTAACGTATTTATTTATATTTGCATAAAAGTACTGTAAGGCAAAGCAAAGAACGAACTTTCCTTGCATGCAAAATGAGATCATTGCGAGAAAAAGAATAGTTTGAGGCGATAAAAAAACATGAATTAGCAATGAGTGTGTATCAGTGGGAAGGACCAAAATTTAATCAGACAAGTAATATGCAATTGAACATACTTGGGAAGCGGCCCCGAGATGTCTCAGATATCTTAGATTAAATTCTTGAAGATCAAAAGAAATGAGAGTATTTGATTAATCAATGTTTCTGAGTTGTACATACTCAATATAAAAAATTTAACAATACGATTTACAAAATCAAAGTGAATTATGTACTAATTTGGAATACATTGTTGATCTTTCAAAAATCATTGAAAGAATAAAATATGTGACACGGAACGAAAACCCGAGATATCCTGAAAATTAACCAAAGCAAAAATATGTTTTGGTTGTATGGCATAGTAGTGTTTACAAGTTTTAAAAATAAGTAAGAAGGAAATATCCTTTCATCTAATAACAAATCAACAAAGTAAAGATTTCAAATCATACAGCTACACAGTAAATGCTTAGTAAATATGCAAATGGGACCTGTAAATCAACAAATTTCAAGTTTAAGCATTGAATAAATAAGTTACTCAAGAACTTATAACTAATCATTTACTGATTTATTTCCATCTAGAATTCCTAATTTCAAATTAAAATTAATGCAAATAAATTGTAGTAAATTGGTTGCAATAGCAGAAATTCACTTTTATGCAAATAATACTTTTTGTTTGAATGGACAAAAATTGCTAAGAAAAATTATTACAAAATGTGTAAAACATATTCTAAACTTCAGCACTACTATTCTTATCAAACATTTGTAACTGGCTATTTGCATATGACCTATTGCGAGTAGATAATGGATTTCCTTTGTATGGAGTCTGCCGAAATGTGTTATCTGTTGCTGATCCTTAAAAAATTTAATTTTTAAAATCTGAAATATTTAACAATTAAATAATAAAAATGAATTTTATTATCAAATATTTTTGAGTTAATCAATTTATTCAAATTTTCGTTTGCTTGTTTTGTGTTTTCGAATTTTCATTATCTGATATGTATTTTATATCTTTAAATTGTGCAACATTTGATTTGAATTTGAATTTGAGCTACAAAGACAATCTTTTTCCCATTTAACACGTCGAATAAAGAAAAAGCTGAAATCTCGACATTAGACATGTAATTTTGTTAGTTTTGTAAATGAACTAAAACTTGAATTTTATAGATTTAAAAAAAAAGTTTCCATCCAAATTGATTTAGCAATAAATTTACTTCTTTTTAAGCTAATTCCAACACGTCTTGGTTCTTGTTCCATATCTATTGGTATTGACACGTGATCTCGTTTTGTTATCATGCCATTTTCTCCATGCATTTCTTGATTGTACAAATAACGTGACCTTACAGTACCATTTTGCTTTTTGCTAACTAATAATTTAAAACATTTAAGTACTATTTATTCAAATTTTTAATTTCATATTACGCAAATATTAGTTATTCAGCAATCCTTCATTCACTTGAAATTAAGTAAACAAATTTCAAATTTAAAGTGAAAAACAAAAAAATTTGTAGGTAAACTTGCATAAATTGAAGAATATGCTGGAATTTAAAAAAGTAATTAATTACAATTAAAAACATAAATTTGCAATAAATTAGACGAATCTTAAAAATAAATTACCTGACTTATAAGTAGAAAGTTTTTTGAGTAACTCAAACACATCTAGACTTCTTTTTATTGTATTTAGTATCAATATGATTGATAGCAACAAAAATACGGCAATTAATGTTAAAAATAACAAATAAAACAGCCACCCATTAGGAACCTGAAATTTGTATTTTAAAACTTTTTCAAAATGTAATCCAATAATCTTTAATGCTAAATGTAATGTTCATAATTGCATGAATAAAATATCTGTTAAAAAATTTTTGACATAATTTTTGATATAAAATAAAATAATTCAAGACTGACATTAATAATAGTTTTTATAGAATCTAGAACTTTCTAACGAATAACCTGCGAAATGGTTTTCGCAAGGTGAGTTGACATAATTTGTGCGTCAAAAGCAATGCCTGCGACGGATTGATCAAATGTATCTAATGTAGAATTGATTCTAAAGATTGAAACTTTATAAAGACTACTCATTTGAGATAAATATTTGAAAAAACCATCTAATAAATATTTTTATGCTGTAATTACTGCTATTGAAAAAATTACTAACAATTTAATCACTTTAGTTGATTTGAAATCATCTAAAATTGAAGGAAATGATGCATCAAATTAGTAATAAAAATAACTGATCAGCATTGGTATTATAATTGCAAAATACTGAAAACTATTAAAATATAAGCAAAATAGTACTTGCCTAGATGCGAGTTGTCCAATTTGCGAATTAATATGTCCTACTAGAGTGCCTAGCTGAGTTAACGTATAGCTTAATTCTTCAATCGTTTTATCCACTGACATAGTTGGTCTATTCTTTCTGATAGATAAAATTGTATGCACCTAAAAAGCATTTAAGAATAAATATTAAAGTTGAAAATATGCTAATCAATCCAGTATATTTGTTCATTGTAAATTAAATGATTTATCAATTTCCGTTGCAAATTTTTCAGTTAATTTTTCTTTCAGAAAAATATTTTGCATTGGCTTTTTTAATTGCCAAATGCCAAAAAATGAATTATTTCCAGCAGCTGTTAGACTTTTTTTACAATTTTTTAGCATTTAAGAAACGATGCAAAATGTTTAGAATATTTCATAGAAACAAAGTTATCTCAGATGAAACTTTGCTTATTATCTAATTTGCATAAATAATCATTAAGTATTAATCTTTCATTAGTTAATATGTTCTTAATCCTTCTTATTTTGTTTTAAGTTATTCACAAATTTATAATTAGCAGCATAAAACGCACGATAATCGCTAAATTAGTCAAAGGTTAAAAATGATTTGGCTAAATTAATTAATCAGAGGTTAAAAATGATAACGTTTTCAAAAATTTGTCAAAATTTGACAAATCCGAAAAATGTTAAAAAAGAAAATATTAAAATAATTGCTATTTTTATTGCCACATTGCAAAATATTATTAATTATTGTTAAATTTTCGATACTTAACAAGAAGGTTACTTCTTTGGAGTGTTGGGCTGGATTTGTGTTTAAATAAATTTTCAGCAGTAATTAAGAGAGAGAAAAAAATTAGTATTACACAATAAAAGCAAATTAATTACAAATTAAAAAATAAGAATAATATTCATTAGAATTTTAAAATAACTGTACAAATAAATGGCCAATGAGTAAATTTAATGATGCATATGACTTTTTAAATCAAATATTCAGCTAAACAAATAAATATAAATCAGTAGGACAGACACATAGTTTTGGACAAATAGCTAAGCAAATAATAATAGCAAATTATCGTAAAGGTAGTAGATTTGTTACAAAAACTAAATCGGAATTCTGGATATATGTGGATTAAAATTTTTGATCTAATTGATTTACTGAACTGAATTCAAATTAAATTTCGAACTCTATTAACACACATTAGTAGTATTAAAGTATGAGATTAAATTTATTAAAATTAAACTTTGTCTTCTTTAATAACTCACAAATCCAACAAGTAATTTATTATTTTAATAAATTAAAATCTTCACATTTGCAAGCGTAACACATTTATGTGCCAATCTCAATTTTTAATTAAGCTATTACTTTACTTACTGTTGCTTTAAAATGCGCATATATATAATTAAGTTTTTGACATTAATAAATAAAATGATTTCAACTTTTTTATAACGAAAAGCTTATTACAAAAAAACAAACCTAAATTGACTTTGCAGTTGTTAGTAGCAAATTTGTTAGCAAAATTTCCACCAAAAATATTTACAAATATTAATGCAATGTTTTTAAATATTTATGAAATTAATTCTGTTATTGACAATTACTTTCGAATGAATTAAATGTAATTAGTTTCGTTGCAACAAACTTACAAAGGAAATTTTCTATGAATCTTACAAATTTTGAAACACAAACAGTTCTTTCACTTCATCATACAACCCTTAATTCCAATAGATTCATCAATTATCAGTATTTTATTCCAAAATGATAAGGTCAAAGTTTATAAGCTGATTATTTTTTTTATTTTCTGACTTTTCTATGACAAAAAAAATCTGCCACAAATTATTTAATTTTCTTATGTAATTTTAAAAAACGTTTATTAATCATTAATGATTACTTACTTACTTATTAAACTTTGATAGTAATTAAAATCAAATCAAAAATTTAAACGCAATAGCCAGCAAGACAAAAGTTGCTAATAGTCACAAAAATTTACAAAATCGAAAAATCACTCACTTTTTATGGACTAATTTTGAATTTCGAACAATTCATAAAAAATCTCCAAACTACTATTCGTTAAAGTATCAAAGTTGTGTTCATTGAAGTAGCATTTGACTTATTTATTACAAAAAGATCGGAACAGTGAACGAAGCATTTTTAAGACCAATCTACTGCGTTTACCTCAAAGCAATGAAAATTAAATTTCAATTTTGGCTTTCAACAAAATTAAATTTTTTGGTTAAAAAGAATTCATCACTATCACGTGAGAAGTAACTTTTGCAAGCACAACAAATAAGATTAAATTAAAACAAAACTTTAAATATGCTGCTTTACATAACACAAACTGCTTCTAACTCTTTTCTTTCTATTGACAACTTTTTAATTTCTGAAATGAAATTTACATTTTGCACTGAATTGCTAGCCAAATAAGGTATGAATAAGATTTTTATTAATTCAACTTGAATAATGAGTGGAACATAAAATGTTTATTCTATTAGTCAGTGGTGACAGGCATGAAAAATTTGTCATGACCATTAGCATAGGACATGGAATGATCATTTAGTTGTAAATTTTAAAACGATTAAACTAAATTCTTTTTATTAATCAATAAAAAATCCATCACTGATCAGTACTTTAAGGTTATTTCCATACTTTATTCAAAATAATGACAAGAGATAATTACTAATTTATTTATGATCCCTTAACAATGCATTGCTTGTAATTGCTACTTATTATCCATAAAGAACATATTTTAACTATAAAAATTATACATCGCAAAAAATGATGACAATAATAATAAAAGTAATAATAAATAATGATAATAAGTAATAATAAAAAGGATGGAAAAGATTGGAAGCAGTGATCATTTTTTATACATTTGCTATTCTGAAGATTAGAAAAGCGAATGAATAAATAAATGGAATGAATAATCGCTAGTCCTTGCATATTTATTTCTTTCCTACATATTGCCCCAAAATATTTGCTAACAATAAAAATATTCATTAAACTTTGCTTTATTTGGGTGCAAAGCTATATTTATTCATATTTTAGCACTTCAAAATGCTAGCGTTAGGTAACATTAAAATTGAAAGTTACATTGCTGTTCATTTTAATATTAATGTGACTTTACTTTCAATATAAATTAATTAATATTTAAGTTTTACATTATATTAAATTTGACATCTATATAAGAAGCAGTATGCTGGTATTCCAACCGCCTGCTTCGCAAGCTTCAAATAGTACAGAATGATAGTGACAATATTTATTATCATTTTGTATTATTGCTAATAATATCATAAATAACGCCAATGCTAGCAGTAAAGGAGCTGTTACTGCCCTCTATGCGATTATTACTGCTATTATCACAATTATTAGTATTATTTTTTGTACCAATTTGTGTATTTCATTTGCAGAAAAAAAAATCAATGTAATAGTACTGTAATCTTCGCAGTCCAAATAATTTTTGTACCAATTTGTGTATTTCATTTGATTTAATAAAAATTTTCATGATGACAAAAATGCCATAAATATTATTAGCAATTTATTATAGCAAAGACTTTTATAATCAGTTAAAGAAGTCAAGCATTGAAGGAGTCAGTCGAGAATTCATAAAATATTGTCTACTGAAAGTGATATTTGCAGATAGAACGGAAAGGATATTATCTCAAATAATATCATAAATATTCAACCAATTTTTTATTACTCTGAAAAGTTTGCGTTGTTTGGAATGTTTATTTATTGATATAATTTCTTTTTAAAAGAGTAAGAAATATTGGAACATTTATTAGCTTTAAATTTATAATTTTCCATAGAACAAATCAAAAATTTTCTGGAAGTTAATGGAAATCAAATTTGAAGTACTGAAATAGATGAAAATCCAATATCATAAGAATGAACTAAGAATTCAACTCAACTCGACTTGGTGCCTTGGACATTATAATAAGTATTTGATGCTTATATGCTATCAGTTAAAGTTTGATATGATTAGACTAAATAGTTGTCACAGATCAGACGTAATGAGTTGACTTTCCAAAACTTGTGCTAATATTTAAATACTTTTTTCAAGATAAATCGTTGAAAATTTTTTCAAGAGAGATTCAAAAGAAAAAATTATTCAGACACTATTTCGAATTGATAACTCTGTTATAGAAAACGTTTTATTACACTCTCACTGATAAAAAATATTGATAAGAATTCGATTCGGTCTTCAGCAAACTTTGTACAACAGAAACTTTGAGAGTGGATCAAAATGAACTATAGCAATTTTTTTCCAGAGATTGGGAAGAAACATTCCACAACCATATCACTGATATGAATATATTTTTTCTTTGATAAAAAATACATCACAACAACTCAACTGATTGCAGCATACTGATAAAAATTTTTTAAGTGATAAAAATCTTGCCCAATCATGTGTTTCATTAATTGATTACTATTTTACTGTTTGTGATTTTAGTATTCAGTCTCAACAGCAGTTATAATTTGAATAATTGAATACTTAAAGAATAAATTAATCCAAATGTTAGCGTAACAATTTATGCATAAGGCTGTAAATTTGTTTGTACAAAAATAATTTTCTTATAAATGAGGAAAATACTGCGTTACTTAACTGTTTGCATTTGACGCAATTGTAATTCAAATACTCGAAATGTTCAGCACATCGTTGGCAAACTAATCTGAAGACTAGTTATTACAGAGATGATATAAGTATCAAAAAGTGCTACTTACTAGTACTAATTTCAAAGTTTGATATTTTCTTCAATAAAAGAAAAAAAGAAAAAATGGTTTACTTAAAACGCTTAAATACACAATACATAAAAGAGAAGACAAGGAAGAAATTGTATTGACTTCTGACAAATTTAGTTTTTGACAACAAAATATTGTCTGTTGTTGACTTTACTCATGAATATTTGCTTAGCAATTGAAATGATTTAGATTGAAATTTAGACTGAATCAAGTACATTAATATAAATTACAAAATACCAGTAGAAAAAGGAGTAAAGGGATATTTTTCTCATAAAATATTTTCAGGACTGTTTTATCAGTAAAGTAATAATTATTGCTTTCGAAGATTAAATTACATTTTTGGCTTGATTATGCAAATTTATACCATTTTAATTAATTTTCTGAACTTGACATGAACATAAATCACTTACTGTTAGCAAAGAAATGACTATCTTCTTTTTACTTCTGCCTCTTGCACTATTTGCTAGTAATACTTAACTAATGAGCAGAATTTAAACAATATGCAAATTCAGTTATGATTTTCGCTAAGGCAGTATTTATTTATTGTCAGCAAAGCAAATTGATTGGAATCAGAAGTCTTCTGCAAACAAAACTTATAAAACATAACTCAAGAAAATTACAAGAGTGTAAATTCATGCAAAAATTATTGAAGATGAGTAAATAATTCAGCTAAAGATGCTACCATTTGGAACCAAATATGAATCAGTTGAGAGAAATCAAATCGATGACTATCACAGAGTATTAACTTTTGTGTAGTAAAATTCTATCTTAAGAAAGTTAGAAACTAACCAAGGCTACAACATTAATCTATGTAGTCAGTAACGAACAGGAGAAGAATGCACTACAATCCAAGAAATTACACATTCACGTAGTCTTTTTTTTAAATTCTCAACGGTCCTTGCATTCATCACTGATGATTAATCGAAAATATGCAGACGTATTCTCAAATAAACACAAACTTTCAGCAAATAAATATGCCAAAAAATCAATTGTACATTAACTTATTTAGGTGTAATTTATTAAATGCTTTCTTAATTAATGTTACAAATTAGTATTTGCAAGTTGAAATTAATATTCATAAATGAAGTTGTGTTAGTTTTCAGAAAAAATTAGCTTGCATTTGATGTAACAAGCTTAAGACATGGCAGAAGTGTCTTAGACTGTGCTTGCAAGCCGATAGTTTAGTGCAGTCAATTGCTTGCGCATTTGTGATGTGATTGTAAATGAATTGATAACAACTGTACAAGAAGATTTAAACAGTTCCAATTTTTTGCTTTGCTGTAATATTTTTGAAAAGTTTCATTTTGACAGTTTAAAATTTTAGCGCTAGACAGAACTGATTCAACAAAATGAACGAATGAATACTTCTTCGCTTTCGTTGAATTAAAAAAATTAAGAACTGAATTCAATTATCAGTCTTCAGGCTGATAATTAGATTCAGTTGGTGCACACGGCAAATTGCATATTTCAAATTGTAAAGTCTAAATTCATCCAAAAATTAAGCATAATTTTGTGCAAAATGTCCCCAAAATACGTTTATAACGCTGAAGTTTGGATTCAGCATAATATCAGCAAAATTCTCTCGCTATAAGTGCTGAAAAAATGCTTTTTGACTGTTCTTATATTTGTATAAATTTATTAATTTCACTGAGCAAATAAAACAAAATTTATATGCTTAGATTTACGCGACTGCCAACAAAACTTGGCATGCGAATATTATGACTAGACGACGACAACAAGCGCTTCCAATTTGATGCTTTAAAAAGTATTTACCATTAAGTGTTAATATTACTCTTTACTTACGTCACGCATTATTTATACTGTTTCAAACTTCATTTTCAAGGAAACAAAGAAAGGGAATCATTATTCTAAATCACGTCATTCAACTATTTTTATGAAGTAGTCAAGTCCTAAATTTACTTCCTTCTAAATTATAAGTGATTTTGGATAAAATTTACACACAGAAACTAGAGAGCAAAATTTTAAGGTAATAAATGCTGACTATCAGCGTACTTTTAGAAGAAATAACTCTCTGCTTTTGTAACATATTCAAAAACAGCTGAAAAACCGATATTAATCGTTTAAGTAATCGAACGATTTAACTGATTGATTACCTTTGATCAAATAATAGTATCTGATTGCACTGAGTAGCAGTTTAGCGGTTTAGCTAATTTTATCTATTGTTTTTTTCTGGAAAAAAAGAAAATATTAAGGGAATTCCGTGTAAACTTTGAACTCTGAGCAATGTGAATTCCAAACATCTTGCTTTAGTAATGTCCAAACTGCTAAAATTTAGAAGAATTTATATCTGCGCAATAGATGTTTATTTGTTTTTCACGCATGTAGACTCGTTCAAAGTGGATATGACACTTCGAGATGTCAAATAATAATTTTTTATTCATTCCATACAGCATGTTATTAATATGCGAAGTGGATAGAGAGTAAGATGTAAATATTACGCAGACTGACGTCAGTGCCACTAAATATTGACCGTTAGCAGTACGTGAAAAAATTTGGCGAAAACAAGGCTATTAAAAAGTAAAGCATCGCCTCTTAAAGGTTCCTAATTTGCGATACATTTTTTCTCGCAACTTTTTCACACTCCTTTATTTTTCGCCATCTTTTTTCTCTCTCTTCTTCATTAATCCTCACACAAACTTCGTGCATACGTCTTCTTATCCAATTTTTTATCTTATTATTTATGCTAATCATTATTGCTCAAAACTTCTTTGAGAGGTTTTTGAGGACTGATTTCTTTGATACTTAGTTGCTTGAAAAGATGTTCGGAGACATCACTAATTAATAAATTACTGTGCTGACTTCAGAAAAAACAAACGGGAGCAAGGGAGCAAGGATGTCAGAGGCTAACTTCGTTGACGCAGTAGGATATTTGTTTTGAACAGAGTTTGCAGTACGTGACACCATGAGGTCTGTTCTGGTTTTTTTCTTGTTCAGTGAAAATAATTATCATGATGCAAATATGGAGTGCAGTTTTGGATGGTTATGACTCATCAGTTAATCAGTTATTTACAAAATTGATGAACTTGAATGAATAGGGAGTAACGTGTTTGTTTGATAGCAAGAGAAAATTGTTGGTTTTTGTCAACGATTTTTACTGCCACGCTATTGATTGATCAGTAAAACTTAATAAATTTTGATTTCTGGTCATGAATCTTTGTTTATTAATTTGTTTTGCAATTAGTGTAAATAAAATTATTGAGTTTTCTGGTTGGCAATTCAAAAAGAATTACCATAAAATGTGTTTTTGCTGGATAAGTGTCTAAAGTTCTCGAATTGTTTCTGTATTTTTACAAAATTTTGTGATGTCCAAAAATAGTACTGATAGAAGATTGATGACGAAACTTTGGTTCTATGTTTTTTCTTCTTAACTACGACATTTTTATATATTTGGTAATTCCAGTTTAAAATCAGAAGTAAGCAATGAGTGGAGAAGTCGGAATGATCGAAGTTTGAGTTCTACTGGGAGAATATATTATCCCCGGCAGCAGCTTCAAACGTCCGCACTAGTTTATTGTGCACTACAGGTTTGAATTTATCTTTGAAAGTTTGGAGTTCGAAATTTTATAAACAATATTTTCTTTCTTTTTTATCATCAATATAGCATTAAAAACCATTTTTTAAATGAGTTTTTGAATGAAATTAATAATATAGTGCCGATAATTACCATGCGAGATAACATTCTGGATCACCTACAATAGGAAAAGCAAAAGATTCTCTGGTTTTCTATGGTAAAAAAAAAATTCCATGTGGAACTTATTGTTGTAAAACATTCAAAAAGTACTAGGGAACAGGAAATTACATAACTTTTTCACTTGACGACCGTTTCAAAGAAGATATCAAAATTAGTTAGTTTACACGTTATGATATTCGAGTAACTTTATTCATCTGGATGAAATTTAATGAATTTAATTCATTCTAAAAGTCTTTCAGGTAGCATTTATATCATTTTTATTCAGTTACTATGGAATTAGTACTGGCCATATTGTAAGGCCTGTTTTATCGTGGACATTAAGAAATTTTCAAAAGGTTTGCTAGCGCATTTTAAGTATATTTTTATATTGATTTATCAGAGTTATTTTAGTTATTTTATTAGCTAATTCTTGAATATTTTGTTATTTTCATGCATTTACTAATTTTTTTAAAATAATAACACACTCTTGTAATTGCTTTGTACGAATCATTGCTCGTAATTGAAATATTATTCAGAATATGCACTTCAAATTTTCATTCCAGCTGCATTTAGCTAACGGTTTATTTAATAAATTGCGCGAACTAGTAAGTTACGTTCAGTCGTCAATAGTCGGTGGAAGTACTTCAGAGCACAATCCAAAAACAACCATTTCTCCAACAAAAAAAAACAAAGCCAGACAAAAAGTAGATATTCAGCATATCGCATTTCTGGAGAAAATTGATAGTACACTGCCTGTTTTCACAAAGTATGACTTTTATTTTAGAGCGCAAGCTATATGTTATTCAAGTCTCATATTGATTAGTCTATGGAAAACCCTTTCCAGGGAGCAGTTATCTTTTTTTGATGGTACGAGACCTTCCAAAGGAACTTATCTTGCAATTTTGGGTCGTATATACGATGTACAAAAAGGTGTCAAGCATTATGGTCCTGGTGGCTCCTATCATTTTTTTTCTGGTATTTTAAAATCAATTCATATAGATATTATCAATAGATTATAAGTAATTTTATGCTGTGTGAAACTTGACTGATATATAAATTAAGACATGATGGTTTTTTAAATATCCTTCCAATCTTATATTTCCTCAAACTTTGTAATTATTGAATTCAAACGCTTTGAGAGACATTTGGCAAAGGGATACTATAAATTTAATATCTGTAGCTTTAGAATTTATAGCAGGTTAACGTACCTTGAACTCTAATTAGTATAGAGTGGCATGACATTTGAAAACTAAATATGAATGTGGTTGGAAGTGTCAAGTAGTAAGACAAAATATAAATTTTTATTGTTAATTTCAAAGTTTCGCAAATTCTTTAAACTTTCTTGTCATAATGTATTCATGATTCTTTCAGGTCGTGACGCAACGCGAGCATTTGTTAGTGGTGATTTTTCTGAAAAAGGTCTTGTAGATGATATTGACGGATTTGATTATCAGGATTTATTAGGCATTTTTGACTGGATCAAATTTTATGAGAAAGATTACGATCTTGTTGGTTATCTTCAAGGAACATACTATGATGTTTATGGCCAACCAACGTCACGTTTACTGGTTTCTTTTTTAATATGTTTAATCTACACCTTAAATTCTATGTACACGAAAGGATAACAATTTTCACTTTAGATGAATTTTCATCTTTTAAGATGTTAATAGATGATCTATGCCAATATTGCTTTCTTTATATATTATCAAGTTTTTGAAGACCCTTTATTTTTTATATTTAATTAGAGAGGACAAAAAAGTTTACATAGATTCTCGTTCTTTTTTCATCAATCTATTGTATTCGTTTTAAAGAAAGAACATGAATTACGTAAAAGTCACCTAGAAAAAACACCGTGAAGAAATTTCGTGAACCACAGAAATTTTTTTCCTACTAATTCTCTGTATGGTTTATGTAGTATTTCGAAGGCATATTGTAAAAAAATTCTTCATTTTAGGATGTAATTAAGCTGATAGAGAGAGCACTAATTTGGAAAGATAATCAGGCAGAAGATATGAAAATTTTCCCACCATGTAATTCAGATTGGCATAAAGAAACTGGAGGAAGAGTTTGGTGTTCTACGAAAAGGTCAACTTTCTTCTTGATATATTTTTATTACTTCATAGTTCATTTTGTCTTTCATTACTAAACGAATTTAATTTCTGGAAAGATCATAAAAAAATTTTAAATTGTTTTAGTGGTGGAGTCGAACGAAGTTGGGCTGGTGTTCCTAGGAAGCTGTTTGATCTGGGATCAAAGTCTTATCGGTATTTTTCTTGTCACTGTTGAACTCTTGATTTTTATTTATTATCAGTCCATCTAAAAAATTTTCATCCAAAATTTCATCTTTTCCGTATTATTAAAGAGTATGTTTTCACAGATGTGCTTGTGTGAGAAATTTCGGTGATCCTCTTTCAAATTTTCCTGGAGTGAATAGAAATAGTGGATACGGAGACCTACAAAATCCAAATCTGAAGGAATATGAGGGTTGCAAACCAACATCTAACGCCTGTCGTGTTGATAACTCTAGTTAGTTTTGCTAAGAATGAGATGGTTGCAACGCACTATGTCATATTTGTTGAAATTAATAAGTCTTGTAGATTGTAGATTGATAGGCTGGTAAGGTTTGTATATTTATTAACCTTTCTGTCATTGTTTTTAGACCGATTTTAATGTGTATGAAAGATATCTTGCAATACTGCAAATGAAGCTGTGCTCATTTTAGTTAGGTGTTTATGTGACTGTTTACAGAGCTTCCTTTTTTGCTTATTTTGTTGTTAATATATTTAATGCAGAATATATTGATAATATGTTTATAATACATTATATTTGTAATTGTATTTGTTAAGTCATTTTTTGTGTTTTATGCAAAAAACAGGTTTTGAAATAAGAAAGGAATCACTGTTGTGCATCTACTGGCGTATTAATTCATGAATACATCTCTTGAATCCATAACTTTCATGCAATACAAAAGTGCAGAATTGTCGAGTGAATCAAGGAAAAGAAGTAGGCCGTATTGGCTGTGTACACTTTCATCTGTAGTGATTTTTAATACGTGCATTTATTTGGGACTAAGCAAGAAGTATAGTCTTACAGCATTATTATGGATTTCACTAGCGCAAAGCAGAAGAGATCAGCACAACAAATTTGAGCGCGGGACAAGTACAGCGAGAGGGCTGGAACACGATCAAGTGGCAGTATCAGTAGAGCGAAAAGGAAGACTGATTTCCAGATTTTTCTTACTATACATATATTGGAGCAACTATCTACACTGTATTCCTTATGCGTCAAATCGTTAAGAACTTTTTTTCTTCAGATGATTTACGAGCTGAAGTGCGTTTAAGAGATAGTCAATTTGAAAAGTGTGTGTACTTCTGGTATCTTAAGATTACTTACGCTTATATCACATACTATGCAGTAATTAATTAGCATGTAACGGATAAACACAAACACATTTCCATTTTATCAAATGCCAGTACAAATTGGCATATATCGCATAAAGTATCTAAGTATTTCGATGTAATAAAATTTTGACTAACAAATTATCAGTGAATTGAACTCTACTATCCATTAACTATTTCCATTACAATTTAGTTTAATTCGAATTTATTTGAGCATTTATCTAATCACATTATTAATTATGTCTGCTCCTTTGAAACTAAGATAATTTAATCAGGATGACTACAAGTCTAATTTACATTAGGAGCATTGAGATTCACTGCTCATGAGAAAATCGAACATATTTCGCGATCAAATGTTTATTAACACTTTGGATAAAATGATCGTCTAACTTGTGATGTGCATTTACTACCTTCTAAAAACGAGCAAAGATATTTTCTGTATCCAAAATTTGAACTATCTGAAAACAACTTCCAACTACTAGTAAGAAAAAAGCATTAAATGAAGAACCCATGATCAAACTCAAATCCGCTCACTAGGAAAATAATAAACTCTAAAGCCAAGACTAGATCAGATAACACGTACGACTGACAACATTACCATAATTATAGTTAGCAGTTGACAGAAACAAAAAATGTATGAAAGAAATGAAATCATTCTTGCTTGGCTAGTAATATGTACTGTGAAGATTTTGTCTGTAGAATTCCATTACTTGATCGTTTTGCCACAATTAGTAATACTTTACGTGAGCAGTGATAATATATCAAACAACTTTTATGTATAATACTATCATCAAAAATGATCTGAGATTGCTGCTATTGCCAAAATAACGTATGCATTCAAGTGAATTTTCAGATCATTATTACTCCAAATCAGATCAGATCACTCTGATAATATATTCAAAACACTATTTACATTTCTATAATTTCACACATTAAGAATCAAAGTGTTTACAAATATTAATAAATGAATTCAACAACGTCCATAAGTGAAAATATATACAAATATTACTGAGGTCCTTTTTGAGGCAATGTCAATTTGTGCAAAATTAAAAAATTGATTACTTTTATAAAATTATTTTAGACGTAAATTTCTGCGGTTAAACTGGACGAAACTGTGCTAAATGTAATTAATTAGCAACAAAAAATTGTATACATACAAATATAAACAATAAAATTGGGTTGACACAGAAAATAATGTGAAGTTCAGACGAGGTTTTCAACACAAATGATATTAGCAACATAAATAACTTGTAAAAATTTTTTCAAACAAAAATTACTCTATTATAAAGTTATTATTTTGCTAAATTATAGGCACGATTTCAAAGTCTGCCTATGTGCGATTTGTTTTTTCAAATCAAGTTCTACATAATTTCACAAAATTCGATGTTTTTCACATGAGATCTTCTGGGATTTAGATATAGGTTCTACTGAGAGAAATGCCTTCCTTGAGTGAATTAATTGTGGTTGACGGAAATTAGATTCTGAAGATTGTGCACATATTCCTCTTTCGATATAAGGAAATCGCAGTGTTAGGGAAGGTGATGCTGAGGGAGACGGACTGGGTTCAATATATTCAGGGAATGATGAGATATCTGATGAATAACTGAAAATATCCTTTGATTACACTCAATAATTATTTGTTCACTTGAATATGACAAAGTGTAATGTGCTGAATTTTTTATTCAAGTTAGTAGGAAGAAGAATTAAGTCAAACCCTGAAATATTCTCAAAACTTTCACGCGAGTGCTGTTGCAAATCTCTATGGCTTTTAGCATCAGAAATATCTGGCGCCAAAGCAATAGGAAATATAGGCCTAAGTGACTTCTGAAGTTGCCTTTGTTGATGTGAATTGACAAGTCGAGATCTGTTTTGTAGATTTCGTCTGCATAACCTTGGATTTACTACATTTCGGTTGCTATGTTTTCGTCTGCAATCGCGCATGATATTATGCTGATGCAAAGTAATTGATGGTCGATGTGCTTCAAGCCAATTATGATGAGTATATATCTGAAAAATACAAACTTCTTACACATCTAAAATTTTGAAATTTTCGAAATGATATGATATTTTTGATTGAAAACACAACTAATCACCAATTTCAATTATAACTTTTTAGACTTCAATATTAAATCATAATAAAATAATGATATTGCTGTTTTATTGTATTTTATAAGATTTGCCATTGCAAATATTTTTACGTCTACGTTGTTTTCGCTTTTTTTCAGAAAAAAAAGACCAGTTAAATTTCATAAAACTTATTGTACAGATTGCTATACTTGTCTCAATGATTATCTTATAAGTAATTAATATGATTACTTCTTCCTTCTTTTTCACTCGATGAAGATGCTTCTTCCTTGGTTCAACGCCATTAATGTATTTACTGCTTACTCGAATAAAACATTGTATTTCAGGCTGAATTTGGTTGTAAGTATTATATATAGCAGTATGACGTGAAGGTGTTGTAAAGAAAGTAGAAGTACTAGCAGTAGCAGCAGGAGCAGAAGTAGTAGTATTACCACTAGCACTAGTTGCAATAGTAGTAGTAGTAGTAGTACTAGTAGAAGCAGCAGTAGAAGCAGTAATATTAATATTAGAAGTTGGCATTACAGTAGCAGCAGTGCTAGTAGCACAAATAGTTGTGCTTATATTATTTTCATGACATTCTGACACTGTTACTTGCGGTAAAAGTGGCACATCGAAACGATTCGAAGAATTTCGTATCGTCGAATTACTGCAATGTTATTTCTGTTATAACATGAAGTAAAATGACTACTACTATTACTGATTGTTATTATTATTATTATTATTGAAATAATAATCATTATTTTTGTTACGATTACTACAACATAAGAACAGTAAAATGAGAAATACAAAAATAGTACAAATTTAGCAAATATTGAGCATAAAACTGTCTGAAACAAATTCGATAAAATTTTTAATTTGACAAAAAATATCGGCAAACGCAATGAATATTCAATGAAAAGCTCAGAGCAACTCTAATTAAATTTCAGACAGCACCTGGAAAGAAAACTACTAAAGTTCACAACTTACTTTGTTTGATATGCTTTCGTTCTATGTTCAGTTCTAGGATATTCCTTATATACCACGTCATATTGGCACAGTGGACAACGCCTGTAAATCAGTTTATACTTATTACAATGTAATCACTGTATAAACTTACTGGCAACAATAAATGCCAATTCTTACAATAAATTAGGCAAAAGTATTCAAGAATGACTGCAATAATTGTTTATATCAGACAATTCTAATAAACTAGCATTCAACTGCTTATTAGTACTAGAAAAAAGGCATATACAGTTATATGAAAATTTTTTACACGAAGATAAAGTTACTAAAGAATAACCTCTGAGCAATTGACTTGTTTCTACATTATCTTCAAATAAAAATGACTACAAAGAAGACACAGTCAAATAAGCAAGATATTAATTGTATACGTAAGTTTGACGTATAAAAATTTCAGCTAAATATCAAAATAATCTTGCACAACTTGGCATTTAATTTCAATTCAAAACGAAAAAATAAACAAGGCATATTCAGAATAACTATATTAAATATATCTACCTATTGCTAAGTAACCATGGATCGACACATTTTGGATGGAATTCATGACCACAAAAGAGCACTCGTAATTCTTGCCCTTCTTTATACTCCTCTAAACAGATACTGCAACGTTCCTAGAAAATATTTTTGTACAAATATAATATCATCTAAACTTTTGGTATTATGTATTTTTAAATCTGTAATATTATTTGGATGTAAAAAATGATTTAATTTATGGAGAAGACAAAAAATAAAATAATAGTGCTTACCTGACCCTCATAACTACGTGCAACTGATGTAAGCGAACCAAAAACAGGTAAGTAACGTCGCCTTGACGGAAGACACAATAATGAATGCTTTTTTGGCATTTTATTGGATGTAACAACGCTAACACTACCGTTTTTTTGAAATTTACGAATTTCCATTTTGCTTAAGGCTGCTCTATAACAATATTGAAAAATTTGAATAAATTTTCATTAAACAGACTCTAATTTTGAACTGAATTATGTAAGGAAAACACTAAACGAATTGCTCATAACTAAGCAACCAATGTAAGAAAAAGTTATAATAATGGATAAAATTAAATAACTTCTATAAAAATTAAAAACTTCTCATTTAATTCAGTTCCTGCACTGTGATTCAGTCATTTTTGCTCACACACACTGCCAATAAAAAATAAAAATTTGAATAATAATATAATAATTTCTAACCTAGCCAATGTTCGTAACCAAATATCTCGATGTGATGTGGGTCGCCATCTAATTTTAATATATACCAAGCCAGTGATGAATATTATTAATAATATTAGTAGTATAATCAGGCCAATGTTTAGCACCGTTGGTCGAAATATCTAAAGTAATAAAAATACAGCTTGCAAACTTCATAACAAGTTTTCAAAAGCATAAAATTGATTATTTTCACAATTATATTGAACAGAAATTAGTTTCAGACTAAAGAAATTACTCAGATACAAGAAAAAAGTTACAACAAAAAATATTATATTGAAGCCAAATGTTAATAATAATCAAATCCACGCAGTCTACTTATGTATTTTTATTCATACATTAATATTTCATCTAAATAAATTTTCTAAATAAAAAAACATAAACTCTCGT